TGGTCAACATTAAAGGGGTGAAATCGACCCCCAAAGTTGAGGGTATTAGGGCATCGTCATAATGTTTCACATAAAAGTAATGTACCTGAAACTATTACAAAATGTTTTTTATGTTAGATAGTAAAATTTACATGTCCGACTTTCCATGCACCCTTGTTGCGGGAGGTAAACCACCCTTCTCGTAAGGAATAATTGTTATGACGAATGGGTGACGAAAGTCTATTAACATTTTTATCTATAGTCTAATCTACCTATCTAAAAACTAAAGCTAAAGCAGAACACTATTATTTTTTAGTGTTTTTTATTTTTTAATAAAATAAGATTAGATAAACATAAAAAACATTTTGTAATAGTTTCGTGTTGATCGGTACATTACTTTTATGTGAAACATCATGACGATGCCCTAATACCCTCAACTTTAGGGGTCGATTTCACTCCTTTAATGTTGACCATTGCCGATAAAAAAAAACGTATCTATTATTTTTGCCTACTCTACAAGTGTGCAAAGTTTCAATGAAATCGGCGAGTCACACAAAGGTAGGTTTACTTGTAAGTTGATTACTAATAGCAAATTTTAACTGTTACCCATAATTAAATCTTTCTTTTAAAATAAAAAGTTTCAGTTGATTAAATAATTACCTTATTTAAAAAAAAAATTATTAAGTTTAATTTTAAATCTAAATTTAAAAAATATTTTGTGCTCATAGAAAACGTAAAAATTATAACTTATTTTTTTATTTGTTTCTTTTCAAATTTTTACGTTCCAGGAGGAGTGAAATTATGTGATTTAAATAAAGAAGAAATAAATCGCTACACTTTTTACAGTGATTTAATTTGTTTTTTTATTAAAAGCATACCTATATGATTTCAGTTTGTTTGAACGGAAAATTTAGATAGAGAAGAATAATGATAATAAATCAACTTGCTTTGTGTGAGAGAGAGAGAGAGAGAGAGAGAGAGAGAGAGAGAGAGAGAGAGAGAGAATAAATCATACTTTTAATTTATTTTTATAAAAATGTTTTTTCGATTAAAACGAGGGTAAATTTTATTCTTCAAATAAATATATATATAGATTTAAAGTACACGATAATAGTCCATTCCCTGAAATTAATGTGATATATTATACAAGACACGAAATATACGTGCAACGCGTGCAATTATTTGATAATAAGTTGAATATTTCGGAGCGGTTGAACGGCGAGTCGCGGTTGACAACACGGCGCTTGGCACTCATTGTTTACATTGACGTATGGCGTATTGTTGTAATACGCACGATCACCTTACTGTCATTCGCACGACAAACCTCGAGCAGGCAGACAGCGACGCGTGAGTCGATTCGTTATTATCTTTTGAAATGCGATTATTCCTTGTGAACAAGTAACGATTATCAGCTCGTGCTTTTAATTAATTCTCACGATTAACTAGTCGCAAACGTATTGAAACGACAACTGCCTATCGAAACAGCTATTACGCGTAATTTATCCACTCGAAGTAGTATCGATACGATGAATATGGAAATTATAAATGGTTATTTTATGGTAATATTACGTGTGATAATTTCTTTGATAATCTCTTGGATTTAAATGTATCTCACGTTGCATTTTGAACTCTTTGCTGGTTTAATTACAATCTACCTTTTTTTTTTGTATTAAGACTGTGAAATAATACGCGAATTGCGCGTCTGGTTGAACAATTCGGATAACGTAAAGCCGTGGTGTTTCTATTATTTGTTAACAATACGTGTACTTTGCGGAATTTATACATTCGAAAATTTGTATTGTATTGTTTAGTATCATAGTATGTAATACTGAATTTTGATTACGTATTTTCGACCGGTTCATCGCATTTTATTGTTAGTAGCTTTATTAACGTTAATTCGACTTCGTTATTCACCTCCAATCTTTTAGTTATTAATTTTTTTGAATATCACAAGTATGAAATATCTATCGTGTGTAATGAGTTTGTATAATTATAACTAATTCTGTATTTTGTAAACACTTGTCAATCGCGTAACATAAATTCGATGAATACATGTCTATGATTCCACCTCAAGAGTCGTTCTATTGTGAGAGATATTATGAGACAAGGTGAGTGTCGAACAGATCGATATCATGCGATTACACTGTAATTATATTTTCGCATTTTTTTCATCATAATGCAATAAATGTTGCGCGCAATTAACGCCGGGAATGTCGCATAATTTTTACATTTTGAAAACAATATTACACCACTACGCAAGGTTTTTTGAGCAAAACAATATATAGATTTATTAAGTATAAAAAGAACAATTTCAAAATATATTATAAACGTTTCGGTCTTAATTAGATCATCTTCAGTATACATATAATAAATACATTAATTTAAACCAAGATGTTATCGCAATTAGATTGACAGATGCCTTAAATTGTGAGACTAGAATCTTGTCAGTTCCAATAAAAATTAACATGAAAAACGCTCGTAATGACAGTTATATGTAGGTTAAATAAATTCGTCCTTTGACAGATTATATTCAATGTGTCCATAATTTGAAAAGAAATTGGCTAAGCGCTCGAACGCATAATTTCCAGATTCAGCATCGAGAATTTTAGCCAAAAAATCAGATTTGTTAAAAGAAAAGATTATCCTGGTTCTAGATAACGATAACAAAATGTGTACATACATTTTGGTAATTAATGTTCGCGTGATCGTATAATGTTGCGAGTGAGTACTATGTCAATGCTACAGAATGGATGAACGAGAGAGAAGGAGAAAGAGATTCGAGAGAGGCATTACCAACAACAAACAACTGTAACGTTAATATAGATAATTACGTATTCATATATTAATGTATAGGTATGTACAGGAATGAGAATTATTTATTTATTATTTATTATTTTATGCATACAGAATTAATCGTTTAGTGTACGTATAGATACCTACACAAGAGAAAGACAAGATCAGCTGAATAATAAAAGTCAATATCACCTGAGCCATGAAAATCAATAACAGATGACATAGATACATGTATAAGCACAGTTAGGACATTAGTGCGCGGACTCCATATGATAGCACGGCCAACTTGGGCGCATATCATTCAAGAATTATTTTGTAGAACTGTATTATCTTGATATTTTATATTTTATATTTTTCAATCAATTAATCTTGGAATATGTCATTAAAGTATTGTACAATGCTGTGAATGTTTACAAAACCTATCGTTTGGGAAAACCTATTGTTAAGGATTAAATGGTGATTTTTCAAATACATATAACATGTAAAACCGAACATAGACAAGCAGCGATTACGAACAATTAGGAACGAAGAAGAGATATATTTTGATGAGTGCGAGCAATATTGTAAGTACTTATGGAAGCAAGTCGTTCGTTCATATTTATTCGTCTTTAGTTGGACACGATTCAAGAAAATAGTCAATTAGATTTGTCAGATTGAGTTTTATTTTCAAATTTTAGTCGCAGTTTTGTGAAACGAATGAAAAAAAATTGCCCGAATTCTCATTAAAGATGGCCTTGTCGCTTGAACATATTCTCCGCTTTTTTCTATTTTCGATTCGTCGAGCTTCACGTTTTCATTATATCCTCTCGTTGCACTGACGTCCAAGGTCTTCTATAAAACGTGGGGTACGCTTTTATATAAAACTCACGAGGCTTATTCAATGGTACAATTATAATTAGTCGTTCAACGGTTAATGGTAGACTGATAAACGATCAATGTAATAGGTGCGCAACTGTTTTCAATCAGAATGTCGAACATGTAGATTGTTTTACTCGGTAATGTAAAGGAACAAATGTTAATGTGTGTATTAGCATAGTTTTATAAATATCTTATTTACCGATATAAGTATCTTTAGAGAGAAATATATCTGGACGTAGATATTTACTGCATAAAACATACACGATAAAAAAAATTTTGCTGACGCAGCAAATTGCTGCTACTGCGTGTTTAATGTAGAAGTTTAAATTTCGCTATTATAAGTAATTGTTTGATATATTAAAATTAATTAATTAAATAAATAAAATTAAATGAATGACTTAATTTTTATTCAATTAATTTATAATGAATTTCTTGTTTATATAAAAATTGATAGTCACAATAGGATAAAATACACTATATTAATAAAATTCTTTTTCTCTGTATAGTAAGAATATATATTTTATAATATTTATATATAATGTGAATATAATGTTAAATCTATCTCATATGCATCTACTACATTAGATACATTTAGCCATATCATCGCGATTTATCGCTAATTTAGCATTTGCTGCTATGCTTTCAGATTGTGCATCAGTAATGTTCTCGTAGTTCGTAGCGAAGGGTTACGGATAAACTGACATTGACAGAGGTGTATGCACGCCTAGTAGGGTAATATCGCGAGAATAATAATTCCAGCGATGGATTTTGCTATTAATAGATAGTGACGGACTTTGTTAGTTGGCTGGTTGCAAACGATGCCATAGCGATGTTGTGATGATATGATTTTTTAATCACGATTATCTAATCACGTGTGACATCGATCGGCCGATCAGCTGATGAGCTTTCTAGCATCGAGTTATCTCCTTGAAATATCAGATTTGAGATTGATTCTAGTAGAATCTTATGATAGGATCAACTTGAGTAATAGGAACTTCGAGATTAATTATTAAAACGAAGAAAATCTTGAGAGAATTCGAATTAAACTTTTATACTTAATTATTATTTCTTTACATTATATTGCTTACTGCTTTTTATTGAACATTTTAATGGTACATAAATTTCCCGTTAATTTAAAAAGAATGCAATAATTCAGTAAAATTTCAAAAGAATGCTTCATATAGATAGACGATCAATTATTTTTCAACGACGTTATCTGACAATAATCACATTTTCTTCGTGATTTAACGTCTATAAGTGAAATTATTATAATTTCTTGATATTTTTAAACACGTTTATATAGTTGAAAACTATCACAGTATCGATTATCTCTGATCTAACATTGAATATATTGGTACCTTGGCCTCGGCATGGGTGACAAAGCATCGAGCAGAGTCACACCTTTGGTAGCACCGTGTGTGATTTATGCCGATGGTTAGGAACGTCTGTCACACTCTGGCCCTCAATGAATCGTGGAAGAGTAACGAAACGTCAATTGGATCGGGACATTCTGGGCAAGAGGGGATTGGGGAGACCGTCGATACCGAACGACCTTGCGGCATCGACCAACCCTCCGCTCTTCTCTTGGCTTTTCGAGTCTATATACAATGCTTCTCCGTTTACTGCGCCCTCTTACTGCCCTTTCTCTCTCTCTCTTTCTCACTCTGTACCCTCCCTCCGCTCTTTTTATTTTTCTCTTTCCGAACGACCTTGCGGCATCGACCAACCCTCCGCTCTTCTCTTGGCTTTTCGAGTCTATATACAGTGCTTCTCCGTTTACTGCGCCCTCTTACTGCCCTTTCTCACTCTGTACCCTCCCTCCGCTCTTTTTATTTTTCTCTTTTTCTCTCTCTCTCTCTCTCTCTCACACACACACACACACACACACACACACACACCTGTTCTCGTTTCCCTTTTCCTTTACTGAGTACCGTCCTCCCACGCTGTCTGACCCTCTTCGAGAAGCCTTCGAGAATGTTGCGATGATCCGTGTACTCGATTTGCGCGTTATCGAGAACGAATTAAGTATCTGCTTGCGTTAGTTGGATGCTTTAACTTCACTCCGTCGATGCACATTTTTGCCATGTATTATTTTTATCATCGATGCATATGGGCGTACTTTGTTTATCTTTGTATTAGTGCTTAGCTAGAAGTTTCATCGATTACTCGATACATCTGCTAATGTAGGAAATCATATCTGGAGTGACATTTATTACAGCCACATTATGACAGAAATGTTATGTATTTAACATATAGGATTTTACGAGAGTTTAACATCGGAAATGATCAATCTTCGATCGCAATGCGTATTTAAAAAGGCATTGATCTAATTTAGTTTTTTTTTCTTTCTCAAGTACCTATATGGATTTTACGAGAGTTTAACATCGGAAATGATCAATCTTCGATCGCAATGCGTATTTAAAAAGGTATTGATCTAATTTAGTTTTTTTTTCTTTCTCAAGTACCTATAAGAGTGAAAGTCATTATTATTTGTCGATTCTGAATTAAACATATTGCTTTTACAGCGATTCTAGTTTCTAAAGAATCTAAAGTATCCTTCGTATAATGCTTGTTGTCGTTGCAAAGTATTTTAAAGCGTTTCACAGTCGTTGAATTGACGTAACGACATATCGACGGCGTGGCAGTGACGTTTTTTACGGTGAAATAAAGATCGGAGTGGTCCACAAGAAGATACTCGTGCCAGGATACTCTTTCTTATCGTTTTTTTGTTCGACGCAATTTCTCAATCCATCGTCGCGACGACACTGACGAGTAAGACAATGGCGGGTAAACGAGGAGGAGTCCATTCCGTTGGCAACTCGACAACAGATCCCGTCCATCTGCGTCGTGAGGGACGGACGAGACACACGAGTAGCGAAGGGAGGTGGAGTCTCCACCTGACGGGGTGGCTACGGTTCTGGGGTCGTTGAGGGTGGGTTAGGCCGTGACGCGTTCGGCCCGAGGGGTGGGAAAGGTTACCCCGCTGTAGAGCGGGAGGGTGCCCCGAAGTGCGGAGGGTGCGCGCTTCCGTTTGAACATCGGTGAAACGTCAGTTACCTCGCGACGATCCTTCCGCGAGGACTTTGTCCGATCGCGCTCACTTGACTCAGTTCTCCATGCTCGGTTCTCCATATCTCGATTGCGTCGCGCTTGTTTACAACCAGTTCCTCTGTTAACTTTACGCGTAGTTAACCTTGGCTCTCAATGCTGCAGTCTTAAAGGAGACCATAGAGTCAGTTTGTTGCTTCCGTTTATCTCTTCGGCTTTGTTGCAACGGGTTAACCGCAGGTGAAGAAGAGGGTTGCGCTGAACGCGTATGATTCTCTTTAGCCTCGGTTATCTGTTCGTACGTTAATTAATCTTTGGTTTCTGTTGCTAAGAAAAAGCAGGAAATTATCTTTCGGATGACTTTGTCGAACGGTTAAGTAGGGATGGAGATGAAAGGGGTAGACGTGAATTGCTAAATGCGTGTGCACGATTTCGAGCGATTTCGAGATAAGTTAGAGAAATAAAATAGAGAATGCTCAAGTAGTTTTGACATTAGTTTTACATACGAGACACTACCTCTCGCTGCTTTTTTTTTTTGCGAGAACAACAAAATTATTAACATTGCTTTTCTGGGTGAAACACGAGATTTTGTTTGTCTCACTCATGAGGCGAGTAAATCTGTTTAAATTAAGTTTGATAAATCTGCCCACATTAAGTCTGCATATTCGTGAATAATGAATATTTTGTGGATATATTGAGGCTTTGACAGTTTAATTGAAAATTCAAATTGGTTGGAGAATTTATCATTAAAATTAACACTCTCGCGTTTACAGTCGCAATTTTCTGTCAGTTATAATGGCTGAGCTTATAATAGTAGACATAATATTACATTACATGTCTACTTTATTTTATTTTTAGTTAATTGACAACCGTTGTGTGATAAATCTCTTTTTTGCTCATTTGCGATAGGTGTTTAGTGATGAGATCTACGTATCGAGAGCATTTACATAAATGTTAAAGGCGAAGGTCCCGATGCATTCTTACATTGTATACACTAGCAGGGAATTGATGCGCTATTGACGTACTACTGACGCATCATTGACGTGCACGCAAATAAATCTTAAACGGTCGTTCTAAACACGGCTCTTATCGAGAACCGGGACATTTCTTGATTAAGCAGGCATTAACACGCCGTTAGACGCGCGCACGATGACGGGACCGATAAAAAGCGATTTCCATACCGACACGATGGACAATTACGGCGATGATAATCACTCACGCGCTCGCGCGCGCAAAGTTTTGTTCTTCAACTTTTACGTCTTCTCACGCTAGAATATTTGAGAAAATATGCATAGCTGACGAAATAAAATCGAATGAACTCGAGACCGCGGTCGTGATCACGAAATCGAAGCTGGTAAATCCTTTCAGATGAATCTTTTCAATGTAGTCAGGGCATTTCCATGTTGATACATGGGCAATTACAGCGATAATAATCACTACGCATAATTACACGCACGCAGACTTCTGTTAACTTTTACGCCTCGTCGATAGAGTGAGAAAGAAATACACACTTGTTTTTATTCCGCGTGAAAAGAAATGCAGATCGTTGAAGCATAAAGTAATATAATTTACATAATTATGCCCCGAAGGACAATTAGTATTTCTTGGTGATTTAAATGAGTTGATATATTTATTTTTAGTATACGTACTTACCATTTGCTAAAAATGTATGAAACGTTAAAAGATTTTACAAATTTTTATGTAATTATTTTTCTTTTTTTTTTTTAATATAATAAAACTTAAATAATAACTTAATATAATAAAATTTAAAATATAATAAAATATAATAAAACAGAAAAAATGTAAAAAATATTTAAATGGTTGCCATATTTCAATGAAGGCAGAAATAAATATATACAATTATATACAAATATAAAGATATTAAAAAAAGTAAATTTTATTTTTTTATATTAATTAATAGAGAATAAAATTTAGGAGAAGAAGATTAATATAAATTTATTAAAGAAAATTAATTCAAAATTGTAGTAAAGATTTGCGTTAGGCGTATTAGTTTTATCTATTTCTATTGTGAATTTTTCGAAACACGTGCTTTAGCCACGTGTTTAGTTTATTTAGCACAAAATAGTGTTTGTGTACAGTATACGGACAATCTCATTTCTCTCGATCCATTTTTTCTCTCTTTCTCCCTCTTGTTCTCTTTATCTTTCTTATGTTTTAATAACAAGACGCGACGTGGTAACACCATGGGAATGGGAAGACTTTATTGAGGCGATCCGCGGTGCAAGAGATAGAAGAACGAGTCGATCTCTTCGAGATCGAATAACAGGATTCATTGAGGCGCGCATCGTCGCGACGAGTGGTGAAAGGGGAGGATGAGCTTTATCGCTTTTCAATCTACCGAGGGTTAAGTACGCCGAGAAGCACTCTTCTCGAATATACTCGACTGTTGGAATTCTGCCAGCGAAGGATAATAACCTTCACCCTTACCGGAGATCATTCGAACGTTTTGCATTAACGTCGAATTAAAACGGTGCGTTGCGTTGCGTGACATCTATTCGAGACATTCTTTTATTTTTTTTTTTCCTTTACAGACTATTCTCTTTAAGTACACAGATAAAATAGGCTTTGAATTGCTTTTCTTCTCTCGCACTTTAATGTAAGGAGTTAATACGATGATCGAAAATTTAGATGAACATAACTATTAAAATTACTTTATTTCTGAATTTATTGTTTAGCGAATTTAGAGAAAAATTTTTGATTGAAAATGGACGAACCAGAAAATTCTGATCATATCTAAGTTTAATTCGTTTAATCATTAAAATCGTGTTTTTAAATTTCCTTTTTTTTTTATATCCGTCTGGAGATAGATTTGTTTCGTGCGAAGTTAGCGATTTCGATAAAATGAAATGACAAATCCGGCATTAATTGAGAAGCAAACCAATTTCATCTTTACGTATCATGTAGATAGTACGTATGATTCTTAATAGCATTTGATTATAAAAAGCTTTCCATAGAAAGCGATAAAATTACGAATAATTCTCTTATAGTTCTCGTAGATGGTGATTATTGTAGCGCATGTACAGAAAATATTACATATTAAGTATGTTTTAATCCGTACATCGTACTGACCTCGATTCTTATGTCGACAAAATAGTAAAATACGCCCGTGTACTAAGTTACAAAATATTTCATTACCAGCAGCAAAGCGTTTTTCTTGTTATATCTTTCATTTGCGTCGCTTTGTGTCCTTTGTTCTTTACTAACGAGAGCTATCCCAGTCAAACTAATTAAATTTGTTAAACTGTATTACGACAGCCTGGCCAATACGCAAAAGTCAGGGATTAAAAAAAAAAACGCATTCGTTTTTATGTCCTATCAATGAAATTCCGAAAAAATATCGTCATTATGAAAAAATTTGCGGAAAA